AGTGATGAAGTTCAGTAACCTGTAGGACACCAGAATGTAGAAAGGAGGCCTATATAATTCATTAGAATAATCCCCCCTTGTTGCTATGACTTGCTTGTTGGAGTGCTCAATTCCTTCCAGAGGATCTCAGCATGAACTTCTCTAAAAGGAGCTACACCATCTGCTTGGAGAGAGTTATGGTCATGGCACATAAGTGTCCCTGAGAAGACCATTTCTATGCTCAACTCTCTGGGGAGTGAGGCCTATTTGGCCTTTGAGTAGAGTTCCAGGGGCTACGCTTTTAAGATGGGTGAGATCAGAATAACCAAATGAATTAGGACAGAAATTTAAGTATGTGTTATTCTCCTTAGCCAAGTCTTGTGGCTTGCTTGCTGCTATTTAGTACAATTTTCAGAAAATTCATTTGAAAGACAGGGTGGATTAATCTCATTGTAAGGATAATGAATTATATATTGAAGTGGTGGAGCTCAGTTACTGAACAAGCCAAAACAGGGCAGAATTCCCCATATGTATATACCAAATACTAAGCACAAGATAAACTACAATGGATACATTCAAGGAAATCATGTCCAGGCAGGAAACTGATGATATGTAAGGATTTTATACACAACCCATCATTTGAAGTACCCTTGATATTATTAGACTATGGCCATTAGGTTTGTACAGATCTTTTGAAAGACATAAATAGGTAGGAAGACTGATCTCTTTTTCTCACTATAATCTCTCAAAGCGGTTTGAACTATAAGGACAACAATTGTGTCAAATGATGGTGATAGGAACAAGCTCTTGCCATCAGGCTTACAACGTAAGAAAACAAGGAGCCAGAGGCTGGACGGAAGAGGTAGAAAAGAGGAATCGGTTTGACAATATTGGAGGAAAACTGAGCAATAAACAAAGAGATTTTAGACCAAGCTGAATATTGCCCCATCTTTCCTTACTGAAAGACATGTCTCATTAGAGCAGTGTTTCTCTGCATCTCTGAGATGTATGGACTTCAGCTCCCAGAATTCTGGGAGTTGGAAGTCCATACATCACAGAGATAGGGAGGAGGAGAAAGACTGTAATAGAGATATGGCAAGTTACCCAGCAGACTTGGCGAAAGGGCGAGATACTAGGCTGTGCTTCCATTCAGGTCTGCCCTTCTAAGTACTATTTTTTTTTCTTGTAGGAAGAACTATAGTTGCGCCTTCTGTGGCAGATGGAGGGGGCAAGAATGTGCACCCAATATTAGTCTTGGATTGACCCACACAGGAACTTGCATTTAAACAGCGCAGAGCCTACATGTAATGTCTTCGTCTGGAAGGCTTTCAGCCCCCCCACCCCCCCAAGCAATTCTATATATTATAGAAGAAGCTGGGAAAATTTTGGTTTATACCATTTCTGGTTCCAGAAGAGAGTTTAATAATACTCTTGCACGCATTATCATGCGTAAACAAGGAGAAAGGTTTCCATTTTCCCCTCACCTATGTGTGACAACGTACTTACTACCTGCAGAGAAGGTATTTTAAAAAATGAAATAATAACTGGTCTGTAAGCAAGACCAAATGAAGAATAGAAAAGAGACATGGCAAGGCAAAATATTACATGGCCAGAAGATTAAAACAAAAAAATAAAAAACAGCAGGCAGAGCAGATAACCTGGCAATGGCTATGAGCAGGAAAGCTGAAGAAAGCTGAGACAGAGCGGCTAATTTTGACTGTACAAGACAGAATCTTAAGAACAAATGCATACAAAACCAGAACTGAGAAGACAGCAACAGACAACAAATGCCAGTTCTGCAAAGAAGCTGAAGAAAGAATGGACCACTATAAGCAAAGTTAGCTACTGTAAGAAGTTTGCAGACACTGACTACAAAGAATAACATAACAAAATAGCAACAATACCTGCAAGAAACACTACTTAGCTGCAAACAAGAACTGGCAGGACCATAAAATTGATACAAGTAATAGAAAATGAAGCAGCTTAATGTTCTGGGACTTTCGAATTCATATAGACACCCATCAGTCACATAACATCCCAGAATTAATAACTGTCAATAAGAAAGACAAAAAAGTTTGAATCGTGAACGCTGCAATACCTGAAGACAGCAGAACAGAAGAGAAAGAACTGAAGAGACACCACAAAATACAGACCAGCAAATTGAAGCAGAATGACTGTGGCAAAAGAAAGCAAAGTACCAGTAGTAATAAACTTTTTGGGTGCAATCACAAAACACCTAAAGTATCATTGGAACACCATCAGCACTGACAAAATCACCATCTGTCAATTGCAAAAGGCAGCTTTACTTGGAACAGCTTACATCCTGCGACAATACCTTTAACACCATCAAACAACAACATTTGCCTATCTCAGGTCCTTGGGGAGATCTTGATAGGTGAATAAAACGCCACGTCCAGTCTAAACATCTGGCTGACGGTATGACCAACTACAATAATTTATTAAATTTGTATGAAACATGGGGAAAATACAATAAAGTAATATTCACGCAGAATGTTCCCTGCCTCCCAAAAAGGAGAGGACAAAACTCATAAACAGTTCACCAAGGTAACAGTTACTCTAGTTACATTTGGAATAGGCTGATGGGGTGTGTGTCTCATTTTCTTTCTTTTTAATTAAAAACAATCCACAATGGCTTGGTTAGGGTAGGAGGCCCAATGGACAGGTAGAAGTCTTGGTCTATAAAAAAATGTATTTTGAGCATTGAGCCACTCTATTTTTGTGGGGCTGCTTTAGCCACCCTTTTTCATGCCAAAGTTCAGAAGAGAAATGTAACCTCACCTAAATCCATATCAAGTCCTAAAATGGTAAGCCGATCAACTCAACTTGGTATGGGTTGATGGCGTTTGACTTCCCTCCCAAACTTAAATTTTTGGCTTTCCAGATTTGAACTTGGATCTGCTTAACTATGCTCTGTGGAGGCAGCTTATGCTACCCAGAGTTTGCAGTGGTGAAAATCTATTATTTGGTTCATTCCAAGTAATGTTTGCCCATTCTCCAGCTTTTCTTATCTTCAAAGACATTAAGGCAGCACGAGGGTTCTTTTTTAACTTGAAATAGTTGTTTGAAATCAGCTAAAAGTGGCTGTCCATTACTTCAGAAAAGACATTAAAACCTTAAAAATAACAAAATGTTACAATATTTTAGAAATATTTCTAGAAGTTGTCCTATAGAAGCAAATCATGAAAAGGCCCAGTATCTTAAGACAAGCTGTATACTTGCTAATACATGCAAATGAGTGAATGTGCATTAAATGGATGTGGATAACAGCTGGATTTATATGCTATGCAAAGTCAGAATGAGAATATGCAAAGCTAGAATAAGCCAAACTCAGCCATTTCATATTAAAATCTTAAAATTTATTGTATGTAGCTATATCAGTTTGGCTTATTCAAAAACATGATTACAAACTGTGGCTTACAGTAAATCTGTGAAACCTACAGCAACTGAAAGAACTGAAGAAAGCAGAACATTAGTGTGAAAGTCACATCACAAATGGATTGGGGTAGCACAGACATCCCTCTGAAGTCCTTGGTACTCTCTGAACTTAGTTATTTGCTTGCAAATGCTGAAGCTTCTTGGTAATGTTATCAATGCTAGTAAGTATGGGGTTTGCTCCCTATTTATATGCAGTAGTTTGCCCTGTCAGTATTGATGGGAGTATGCTTTCCTCCTTGATAGTTCCTTGATTAGGGTATTGTTTTCTGTTTGTTTGTCTGGTGTTAATCCCTGCTTATCTTGGTATAAGCTTCTGGAGAGCAGGGATCCCCAACCACCGGTCCGCGGACCGGTACCGGTCCGCGGAACAAGTCCTACCGGGCCGCTGGTTGCTGGGCGCCGCCATCTTTTTTTGATGAAAAAGTGCTTCTGGTGAGCTTTTCCGGGTAGAAAGCTCACCGGAAGCACTTTTTCATCAAAAAAAGATGGCGGCACCCAGCTGATGCCGGTACTGGGCCGCGGCGCCCAGCTGATGCCGGTACCGGGCCGCGGCATAAAAAAGGTTGGGGATCACTGCTGGAGAGAATGTATTCTGTTCTTTTTTTGTTTCCTTCTTAGCTTAATGTTGTCTCTTTTGAATGGCGTGTAAATAAGGTTTATTTCTATGTGTTTGCTGATGGCAAATTTGTCTGAATGCCAAGCTTCCAGGAATTCCCTGGAGGTTTTGGATTTGGCTCAGACAACCTTCTGTGCAAAAGGCCCAATCACCCAACAGGGTTGAGAAAAAAAGCCTATCACTCCTTTCTATAAAAGTGTAAAATACCATAGGAAACAGTGTTAGTTTCTGGCCTTACAGTTGTTTTTTCTTTCCTTTCTATTCTGGCCTCTTCACTTCTGTTCTGGATGTGAAGCATGGGATGAGAGCCATGTTTTCCCCTGCACAGAATTCTCTAGTTTCACAGAACCTGGGCTACTCTGGCATATAAATGATCAGGCACAGAAACAAGTGGGATTAAGAGTTACATTACATTACATTAAGAGTTACCGGGATAATCTTTTTTATTCAATATATTAAATATATATATATATTTATATATATTAATAATTGGAAAAGTCACATACTGGAAATTGGAAAGCAGGGACAGACAAATATAAATGTCAAAAATGGAGGACTTTACAATACAAAGTTATTTACATATAAAGACAGAAGGTGTCCTGCAGGTGTAGAGCGATACACAACTGTTGGTGGCTCAAGACAAAGAGCCTTCCTTTCCTCTGTATTTACAAACCAACTCATCGTTCTTCTTATATACATCTTTTACAAAGAAATTACTCAACAGAGCAAAACAGCCACTGTCTAAGCAGAAGGCGGGAGGGACATATGCTTATTTACGGCAAAACTCTCCCTGAACTCTACCCCTACCCCCACCCCCAGTTGCACCAAGGACAGGATGCAAGCAGCTTCTAGGCCGAGGGTTGGAAAACTTCACTTGCCAAACCTGTGAGTGTAATCCAGGGCTGATGACAAGGTCAAAAAAGAGAAGGCAACCATTTTTTTTAAAAAAAAAAATTCTAACTGGCCTTCAACCGTCAAATCAATGTAAAAGTTCCATTCGTGACACAGACAGTGGCTCCATGCAACACTATGGAAGAAGGGTGCTGGATTGCACACAGAGCTGTTGGCAGGTCCTGGAACAAGGCAGCATTGTTTAGGGATTGTGCATGTAACCCGAGAAGGCACACAGGGCTTCCCCCACAAGTAAAAAATAAAATAAAATACAAACTCCAAGGTGTCCCAAGTTGAGAGAGAATTACATGGCAATTCTTAATGTCCCGGTAACCTCTATACGTCAAGGGAATGAGGGGGAAAGGGCGCGTACAGTGTTTATGGTTTTCAGTCTCCAACCACTGGACTAACGTTTTAAAACACTCTTCTGGAAATATCTCTGGAAATATTCCTGCCAACTTCCCTCTGGATGGAAGGTGGCAGAACCTTCTTTCTGCTAGTTTTTTTTTCTCTCCCTCCGAGGAAGATAAATGGTGATGGCGGTGGTAGTAGGAGGCAAGATGAGGAGAAACCCAAACAAAGCCACTCTCCCCCAAAGAAAGCACCGTTTGGTTCATGGTAGTGGTGGCTTCCTTCCACCTTGTCCTCAGAATGGCAGTGTGTCCATGAATATTTTATCCACAATTGGAGGAGGGGGCACCAGGTCTTCTAGCTTCAAGTAGAAGATGCGCTGTAGGCCTTGAGTGCAGAGGGTGCGGAGCTCAGGAAGTTTGCCCAGTAATTTTGAGAGGCAGTTGGGCTGTACCTGCTCACTGGCGATGGAAGTCATGTGGTCCTTAAGGCAACTGACAATGCGGTTCTGGAGGTCTTCAACCTTCTTTGGCTCCTTTAGCCCATGGCGATCTAATTGAGACATCAGAGTTGGGTAAGGAACAGGGAAAAAGTTAATCATTAAAGAAATCAACAAAAGTCTCATTTCAAAGTGCTTAGATATACAACCTTTCCTGGAATTTATTAACAAAGCTCTCTATCCCTGATGTTGTGCTGTGGAAACTAATAGGAAGCTGTGGTTTTTACAGAAACATTCTCAGTTATCTCTATGGAGATTCTCAGTCAACCAGGTCATGGTTGTCCCAGAGGTGCTTTTTTGGGAGGCAACTGGACTTCCTTGTTTTTCTTTGAAGGCATTTTGCTTCTCATCCAAGAAGCTTCTTGGAGCTCTAAGCTGAAGAAGCTTCTTGGAGCTCTAAGCTGAAGAAGCTTCTTGGATGAGAAATGAAACGTCTTGCATGAAAAAACAGAAAGTTCAGTTGCTCCTGAAAAAAGCACCTTTGGAATTCTCAGTTATATAAATCTATGTCTCAGCAGCTACATCAGAACAATCCTGCCTTATGTTTCACAAAAAATAAACACAGAAACAAGCAATGTGAGTGAGGCCTTCATTTGGACATATCAGTTTCATCACATAAAGACAAGTGTACAAAAAATGGGATTCTATGAATCTTCTTTTCAGGGATCTCCAGCAAATGCTGCCTGAGCCACGTGGTTTATGATGACTAAGTTGATTATTTTCGACCTCCCTAATACTAGATCCTATTCCAGGGACAGAACGTTTGGTCCTCCTAATGTTACTAAATTGTAACCAGACAGCTATGATTAATGGTGAGGGATGCTGAGAGTTGGTATTTAGCACCTGAAACAACTGGGTGGACACAGGTTTCACACACTTGACTTACACTTTTTTCTGAAGACATCGGTTAAAATATTTTCACATATCTGGAGCTCCCTTCAATAAGACATTACAATTCTGGCTCATTGTAGAGCTTAGAATCTCTCAATTTCCATATTCTTAACAAGCAGAGTTGTTTGAGCTCCTTAGGATTCCCCTCACCCTCCCTTCTCCTGCTCTCTGCTTGTCCATATATTTTTCCTTCTCTCTGCTTGTGTCTCTGTCTATTTGTCCGTATATTGTTCTCAAAAGCCCTCCTGTCCACCTACCTGTAATTATGACAAGTGCTGCAAGACAGGAGAAGGAGGGCACATCAATGTTCATGCGGTGGAGGTTCTGGGAAAATTCTATGATGGAATCTATCCATTCTCCAAAACCCCGGACACACTGCATACGATGCAACACAACGCCGTTACAGAAGATAAGTTTGCCTTCTTCTGGCTTGGATCTGCAAGAGACAAAACACTGTGTAGTCAGAGAAGAGGCTCAGACACAGACCCCTGTAATGAAATATGGTAGTGATGGCAGAACTATGCAGAAGATCCCAAATTCAATCACTGGCTTTTCCAGGTAGGGCTAAAATCAACTCATCACCACAGACCCTATGGATTAAGGTGACAGTTAAGTGCAAGCATTTCCTTCCTTACCAATTGTGGCTGCGAAGGGGTGGCCCACTGAATCTAAGCAAGCGTGGGTGGCTTTTGTTAGTTCTAATTATCACATTTAGAGTTGCTTGTGTGAATTACATTTTTATTTGCTTGCTTCTCTCAGAATGAATTCAGGGCCGCAAATATAGCTCTTGCATGCATCAACAGATAATCTATTTTCTTCTCTTGGCTACACTGTAAGGTGGCTAACCCAAGCAGGTGTCATGAAGCCAAGATAAACTTCACCCCAAGCTATTTTAAGCCAAAGTCTGACATGCTATCCAATTTATTATCTCAACAGATTTCCTTTCTCATCTTGCAGGATTACCTTGCTACTTTGAATATTGCTCTTACTTTAATACCTGCAGCCAGCCCCCAATGTCTCTCTAATGTCATCTCGAATGTACTACTGATTGATTTAGCTGCACACAGACACAGACATACTTTTATTTTAAAAATCCTGAAATGTTAGTTAGTTACAAGCACAGGATAAAAACAACATACACTCGCTTTTAAAAATTCCTTTAAAAATCCCTGTCCAGAAGTTCTCTACTTTACTGAACTAGGAGAGTGAGTTCATTCTTACTGGCATCATTGCCCATGGCAAATACTCAATAGCTATGTGGAGTATAAATCAAATTAATGAAATAATTGGAGCAGGCAGCCATCATATATTTTAACATTAGTAGTCGTAAATGTCTATGGAGATTTTCAAGACATCCAGGTCATGGTTGTCCCAAAGGTGCTTTTTCAAGAGGCGACTGGACTTTCTGGTTTTTCTTTGAAGACATTTCGCTTCTCATCTGAGAAGCTGAAGAAGTCCAGAAGGTCCAGTTGCCTCTTGAAAAATCATCTTTGAGTTAGTAGTAGTAGTTATGATGGCGATGATGACGATGATCAATACTGAGGATGCAAAAGTCATAAGGCCATGGTACTTCCCTGTTCTGATGTTCAGAGCACCTTCAAGCCACTGGTGCTGTTGGTTCCATCACTGCAGAGGTCAATGTCCATTTTCCTTGCCTACTGGACGAGGCATTTGGAAATGGTCATTGAAATGCACCGGAAGTCCTCCAGGTGGAGCTTATCCACAAAAGGCATCCCACCCTCTTTTTGGCTGTGCTCCTTTGGTGTTAAGGAACACACATAACATTTTAAAATGATGCTAAACAAAGCTATAACTCAAAGCCACTGAATGGTTTCACATGAACTGTTTCTAGATTGCAACGGCTAGGAGCCAGATTGGGGGGCTAACAGACATGATGGTTTGCTGTTTAACTGAAAGGAATAGCTGTGACATGTTACCTGTATGCTAGCCGTAGAATGAAGAGCTCCAAAAAAGCAGATTCCAAAAGCAGGTCCTGGTCCTCTTTTGGAAGCTCCAAGAAGCCCTGAATCTTCTCTGCCCATTTCCGGATCACGTCCATTGAGCCCGTTAATAGGTCGTAGAACAGCTGCACATCCATGCAGTCCTCCTTCTCAAACTGATAAGAGACAGATTCCTGGAACTGACAACACAAGCAAGCAAGTCTTTAGAAAAGAAGCAGTGCGTTTCTTGTGAGGTGGCAAGCAGTGATTTTCTTGAGATCAGCAGGACACAATCTAGAAGGCACACTCAAGAGTTCCTTTATTCTCTAAGTCACTGAAGTGCATCCTATAAAATCCCTTCTGGCACTCTTTGGTTCTGGCAGGCTATCTAGCATGAAGAGCTTCAGCATTGTAGACTATGTGCTCTAGAGCACGGGTGTCAAACTCAGGTTGCCATGCATCACGTGATGTATCGGGACTTTTCCCCCCTTTGCTAAACCTGGTATGAGCATGGCCAGCGTGTGATGCATCCAGCCTGCGGGCTGGAAGTTTGACAGCCCTGCTCTAGAGGATGGGTAGGACAGGCCACATAAAATTAAAAATAATAGCTTATTTAATAAGTTGAAAAGTGAAGAGTTTGCTCCTAGATTATCTATCAGGTTATTACATGATGGCTATTAGTAATCAAATGTAGTAAAATATTTGCTTCATCGTTAGTCATTCCTAGCTGGGAATTCTGGGATCAATAATCCAAACATTTCATGCATGCTATACATAGGTTTCTTCTCTTTGCCCCAAGTTGATGCACCATCACCAGGGTCAGATATGAAAAATCAAACCTGTAAATGTTCATATATGGTAATTGAATCTATATGCCATGTTCTATTAAATGTTCACTTTTAACAATGGTAATTAAATGTCAATTAATTAAAACTTGACATTGCAAAGTTGAAAAGTTGAATTGTCATATGAAGAGGACAATGGCAAAATTTCTATCTGTAATTTTACCCGAAAGGAATTGGCTGCTTTCACCCACGCAACTTTGTTTTAATGTAATATATTCATATTTATATATAAACCTTTCTCTTTAATTGCTGTACATGTCTTAAATGTTTATTAATGTTTATTGGCTTGATGTTGAACTATTAATAAATAACAATAATAATCTCAACTCTTCTAAATGTCCCCAAGTTGCGGGTGGCCAATGTATACCAACAGCCCATAAAATGTAGCCACTGAACAATAACAATCTGTTCAAATAATAGTCCCCAAAAATAAACTAAAGAAGTCATGGTTGTGAAGTGAAGTGACAGCTGCCACCTTGCCACTTTAGATAGTTTAAGTATTATGTGCATGATTTTTAAAACAAAAAGACATGGATTCTGAATTGTCCAGAAAACGTCTAGCTAAATGGTGACTGAGAATTTTGAAAAATAAATAGATACACAAATCCATACAGGAATGCCTATCACTGGCTAAAAGGACATATGAACAATACTGGATGAGAGATCCACCACCATTCTTCTGATGCCATTTACCTATTTAATTTGGCAGGGATATTTCAGGCATAAATATTTCATGCGATATGAGCCACAGATGGCCAGACCAATAAACCAAGTGTGCATTTTATAAAAAAGCATATTTTCTCACTTCTCAGTTTCAGAAATTCAACACCCCAAAATGCTAGTGTCTAGGGCAGGGGTCTCCAACCTTGACAACTTTAAGACCTGTGGACTTCCTCAGCCACAAGCTGGGAGTTGAAGTCCACAGGTCTTAAAGTTGCCAAGGTTGGAGATCCCTGGTCAAGGGCACAGAATCTCACATTTCCAAAGATGTTGTAGAGAAATACCTTGGAATAGTCGAGTTTGGTAGCGCTGGGTACAGAATCTATGTGTGCTCTCACAAGAGAGGAGATGAGGCTGACCGGTGAAATATCTTGAGCTTGTTTGGGCTTGGAGGGCAGCCGACCACGTCGGCCTTTCAAGCTGTCTGTCCGCACCACTGAAACAAGAGAAAAAGGGAAGAGGGGAGACAGAAAGGTGAGGAGAGGATTATAGGCAAGCAAGAGCTATCACCAAGAGAAGCCCACAATCTAGGAACAGCTGCTGCTGCTTCTTCTTTTTAAATATCAAGGACCACAAACTGAATCTCAGCCAGAGGCATATGATGTTATGCTTCTGTGCAGCTTAGCACCATCCAATGGGGTTTAGAGCTGTGTGGCATTTTATGAGGGCTTTTTATAAGGACAGAATGCAGCATTCTCTCAAAATTGGATTGGTATGGGTTTGGGTTAGCATATATCTGAACACTGATATTCTGGCTTGTCTTATTTTATGGTTTCCTTTGATGCAAGATTCATTCAATAAATCACACCAAGGATTTAAGCAGTGCGTGACTCTGGGTCAAAGAATCTAACATCCGAGGAATTACTCTGAGCAGCCACAGGAAGTGGTCAGAAGCTCCAGCTTCCTTTCACTAAATTTTCAATCTTAGAAAAATCCATAGAGCAAAGTGATGTTCCATGGGTTGCCTCCTGTCACAAGGCTCTGAATAGCTCAATTCCAAATATGAATATCTTAATGTACAAAACAGGGTACCAGCCCTATCCCACCCTGATATTGTACACAATACAGTTCACGTTGTTTGGCTTAGCACAAAAAGCCAGGCAATTGTCCATACTGATAAGTCATTCTTGAAGAATGGATGTTTTCTACCATTTCAGCCCATCCCAATGGCTACAAAGAGTTTTAGACCCTCCTTTGCAATTACAGGTACAAGCAAGTGAATTGCATCATAAATGCAGATAAAATCCTTTCTTCTTCTTCTTTCTTCTTTCTTCTTCTTCTTCTTCTTCTTCTTCTTCTTCTTCTTCTTCTTCTT